TTTTAAGATCTGTGGAGGATGGTTAGTTATCAAATATTACCATGAAAGCCAGGTAAAAAGTGTCTTCACCTCCAAGATAAACAAATAAAATTTTGACCCCAAAAAAAAAAAACACAAATAATACACAAACCATAGCAATATGATGAAGGCGCTCAGCTTTCTTCTTCACATTACGGTCAATTTTCTCCGTATCCTCTCGTGCCCGAGCTACAGAGCAGAAGGTCAGGATAAGGAAATCAATAACTTTCACCAGAAAAAATGAGAAAGATGGCTGCATGTTAGGCAACCAAAAGAATGGAACCAAACACCATATTCATTCTACAGTTTTTGTAAACAAATAAAGAATAAATTCATTCTAGGCAACCAAAAGAATGGGGAAAGATGGCTGCATGTTAGGCAACCAAAAGAATGGAACCAAACACCATATTCATTCTACATTTTTTGTAATTCAATAAAGAATAAATTAATGTAAGTGCATTCAAGAATAAATAGAATTTTTAAAGCTGCTATAGAAAAGCTCTGCACTGAACATAAAGGTGAAAGAGTTTTACCATCAAGCTTAAGAAACCCGGACCCAAGAATAGCAACGTCTTGACGTGCACGGGCATTCAACCTCATTATGCCACTGACAAGAAGTGGCAAAACATGAGCAGTGATCTATATGTATGAACATTTCAATTTATTTAAAACCACGAATTAGATGACTATCTTGATAAATTAACAACAACTACCACATGCAAGTTGCAACGCATGTTTACATCTATTTTCTCTTGTAAACCATGCTCAACCTGACTTTATAATGCATAATCTACAGAAAAAAGCCAGAAACATGGTGTTACAAATTTTGCACACAGGTCCTAAGTACTTTTAAGATTCCTAAACTAATTGTAATTTAACAATGCAAGATTAGTTCTTGAAAATAAACAATAAAGACCAAGATAAGGTGGATTTATGATCAATTTGCAATCTCATCTAGGGGGACAAAAAGCAGTTTATGAAAAATTACCGAGAAAGCAGAATAATATCGTTGCGAGCCCTCTCATTTACAAACTTTGCATCATTGCAAACAAATTTACAAGCTTCAGCTAAACTGGAGTGAGTAGTTCTCTCAGAAAAGACTGGATGCTCATCTTCCTCATCCCCACTCTGTGAACTAGTACACAACAGGAATTCTTTCAATGATATTGCAAAAGAAAATGGCAGTGTTTACAAACTTCATGCACTAATTTGTTCAAGTTGAGAAACAGACTAATTTGGTCAAGTTGAAGATATAACTATAGAAAACTCTGAAAGAAGAAGATAAATCATTATTAAAAATTTAGAGACAGTATATAAATGAGGAATAAATTGGAGAACACAAGACATCAAACAAATTCATGAAGTAACTCCTTCTGATAAGTGAAAAAACAACAATTCAAACTCAAATAAATAAAAGACAGCAAACTAATTGTAGGTACAGTTATAATTGACAAGGGAGTAAAAGGAAGAGGAAATCAATTAGAGTGGCACATAACAAATAGACGTATTTCAGGAAAGAGGAAGCCCAGTCAATTAAAAAGCAGGTACGCATACCATCCAGGGAAGAAAATAAGAGGAGAAATTTATTAAATGACAGCCATGGTAAAAGATGAGGGCCAACGTGGCCTAACTGATCCTCAGTAATTCAAGTAACATCAATACCAGGATAATTCCAAGATAGCAGTTACAACCCCATTTGAGAAGGTGATGTAAAGTGCTATAGTCCAAGATATCCAAGATAGCGTAAAAAGATAATGGAAAATGCTATAGTCCCATGGGAAATGTTAAAATTTCATGGGGATACCAAAAGTCTATCTGGTTCTGAACAGCCCCCTCCAGACTCACAATCTGATAGGCTGAAGCATCAAGAATCTTCCAAGAAGAAAGTGGACACTCAAACTGGTGTGCACCTTTGGGAAGTTAGGCATCCTTATCTTCTCCTTCTTCTGATAATCTAGGTATTTCTTTTGAAATATTTCCAATTCTTGCTTTACTTCTTTTACTTCCTTATCTCTCTTGTTCATCAGCTTTGTTCAAAAGTTAAAGGCTTTCTGGTCATACTCACATTGTTCTTCCAACATCCTTTGTACCGCAATGCCACCATTTGTATTGCTGCCTTCACATCTTGAAGCCTTGTTATCATAATCAGAGTCTGGTTGCCTATTGCAGACTCACACCTTTCTTCCTCTAGTTCTGCATATAAATCACTTAAAACTTTGCAGTGGCTGCTTTAAGCTGTTCAATTGTTGTGACAGGATCCCCACCATCCATCTCACTTACTGCACTTCCATCTAAGTACTCCTTTGGCCCTGATTCTCTATATCAGAGAAAAAGTTTCTAGAGAAAGTAATGGCCTGTCTACAGAAGTTGGTATCACAGGAAACTTTCCCTCTGGTTCATTATGTTCTAATTTAAATTTTTTTCTGATCTTGACACAATTATCTGAAGATCTAGATGAAGGGAATGCACATGCACTTGACCTTAGTTTGAGGGACGTGAAAGCTGCCTAGAGGGTGAGGCCCCTGCCACTAGATATATATACAGTACTGTACTTGTTCGTCTGATTCTCCTCTTCCTGTTAAGCAAATCCTCCTTGTGGTACGTTTACATAATCTTCAATGCCTTATAAAGAGTTATATCCTCCGGTCTTGTCTTGATAGAATCCCTATGAGTGATTAACCCTCTCTACTTCCAAGTGTTTATTTCTTACTCTAAAAAGTAAGCAAGTAAACTTGGTGTATCTCCTTCAGTGGTCTAAGGCCGCTTGCTTACTTAGTGCTTGCGCTAAGGAAAAGTTTGATCTATAGAGCTAGATGTGGCTCCTATCGAGATTAGAATAAAAAACTCATTATATCAATCAACCCTGTAGCCAGGAGAATCTATTCCTATGTCTGTAACTTCTCGTCTGCTCAGGCACTGTTTCTCTCTTCTCTTTAGCAGCCAGATGGAGACATATAAATTGCACTTTAATACCTTCTATGTTTCAGAATACAAACCCCAAGCTTCATGTGAAAAATTACCAGGAATCATAAATCTCTACACATCTACAACTGTGTAAGAAATTCACAAGTTCCCATTTACCAGTACAAGTTGAAAACAGTAAAATCATAAGCCAATTGACAGGTTGATACATAAAAAAGGCTAGCACTACAAACAAACAATTTGTTGTATGCACTAGCGATGCTTATCAAATAAAAATTGCAGAACAACTGCATCATTCTTTTAAGTAAATTATTACTCCCTTTGTCCTCCTATCATTAATGTTTGCTCCAAATACACAGAATAATATCTATTTCAAAAAAGTAAATTCACAGAGTGTCAGAAACATAATAGCTGTTTCTAAAAGTCATAGTTAAAGAAAGGCATGTTCGAGATTCCTGAAACGTAGAAAACATAAATGCAGATTTTGATAAATAAAAAAATTTAAAGCATCCTTTTAATGAGAGAGAGAGAGAGAGAGAGAGAGAGAGAGAGAGAGAGAGAGAATGAAAGAGAGAGAGAGAGAGAGAGAGAGAGAGAGAGAGAGAGAGAGAGAGAGATGTAAAAATATTCTTGATCAGGTGAACGTGTCTGGTAAATGAAATTTATATTAATTTCTAACTGATTCTTACCTAGTCTCCCCTGCAGGATCACCGTAAGTTATAATGGGTTCTTTTGCTTTGGTATTATGAGTTCCTCTTGACAGGTATAAGACAGTAGATCTCTGAGAGTCAGTGAAACTAACAGGTTTACCCAATATACGCCACAAACCATCATTAGAAAATATCATTTTTTCTTTCAACAGACGTCCATAGTTTAGCTGCCTCAGTTCAACCCCTTGACTTGGACAATGAAAGTTATTTCGTTGCATTGACTTGGCATAAGAATTTAAGATTCCATATGAGTTAGGAATAGTTTTTGTATTAGTCACCGCAGGACAGCTTAAAACCTTGCTTGCAGTAAGTGCCATGGGCAGGATCAACACAACGACGAAGTGAAACTAGCCAGAATTTCCCTCACAAAAGCTTAAAGCTTCAGCAAAGACAGAGAAACGAAACAATGAAGTGTTATATTCTCATTTAACATAAAATTACTTATGAAAAATTACTACTGCACTAAACAAAAAACTTTATTGTACCAAAAAATCCTTATTAAAACAAAGTAAGTTTTTATGAGCATCAAATATACACTATTTCATTCAGCCTTCAGTCAGGACACTAAGTCCCCTATATCTGCATTCTAACATGTAAATGAAGACCACATTTCCTTGAGAATCCCTTTAACTCATAGGCACATCTTTTTCACCACAAGAAATTCATAACTTTTGGCTAGAGATATGATTGGGTTCAGAATATTTCACCAACATAATCCTTAGAGCCAACCAATAAGGTACTAATTACCTATCTTTTCTCTAGTTCTTTTCTTGGAAAATTCTAAGTTTCATGTCCAGTGTTTCTTATTAGGGTTCCAGAATCAGTGAACTTGAAAATGTTCAGTGTTCAAATTCCCTTAACTATGAGGTTGGAGTGCTTCTGCTCTATTCCAAAATCATGTTGTGAACATAAATAAATTTTTTCATTTTTTTTCTTTCAATTTTTCCAATTCCAAAATCATATTGCAGTTCAAAGTCAGTTCAAATCAGTGTTCAAATTCCCTTCGGCCGACATCATCGGATGCCCACATCTACAATTATCTCTTCTTCCATTTAACCACATTTGACGGTCTTGGTAGTTTCCTCAGGAAGTAGTACAGTTCTTGGCAACAACAGGTCCATTTTCTTCTTTCACTTGTAATGGAGAAAGCTGTTGTTGTTAGTTAGAATTCAATTAATCAGGAAGTGATCTATTTTGATAGTTTTAAAGGTGTTACATAAGCTGGATGAAAATTATTAATTTCCACTTCACTTTCTGGATAAGATTGTGCTAAACAACTCTAAAATGTTTAGATATTCCATTTGCCTATTACGTACAGCTAATGGGTAAAGCTTAAACTTTGATGCAGGTGCGGGTAAGTTATATAAATAAATAAAAATTGATAGCTTATGGAAAACTAATATAGTTTACCGCAACATTTCAGTTTAAATTTTTATCATGACGCATTCCTGCATAATTATTTTGCCATGATCATAAAGCAAACGCATAATTGTAAATGCAAACTTGACCTTGAATATAGTGATGACGAAATCTCACTAAACCAAAGCTTAAAATTGAAAATTAAAGAAACCCCACAGAAGAATTTGCAGAATAATGACATGAAAACAGTTCGAAGTCAGTGAAGCAAGCAAGAAATGCAAGGAAACTAACTAACCTGCAGAAAGCAGCACTGACTTTCCAGAGAGAGAGAGAGAGAGAGGGGGGAAGTGAGTGAAGCAGCCAAATTTGTAGTCACAAAGGAGGCAGAATGTCAAGGGAATTGAAAGGAGAAATTGCAACCACAAGCAATGCTTGTGGCCCCAGAAATGCCAACGCAAAGGACAAGAACAAGGAAATATAATGAGAGAGAGCAACATTTGTATGTATGCATGTATGGATGAAGGTATGATTTGTTACCAAAAAAAAAAAGAGAAGGTATGATTTTTGGCATCCACTGCAGTCTCTCTCCCCCTTTGTTTATTTATTTTATTTTTGACTTTGCTTACTGTGTGCCGGATGTTATGGATTGGGCTTACCACAACTGCAGAAACTCTTTGCTAAATGACAGAAAACCTAATCCGTTGTGGATAAATGTAAAAAGAAGAAATTAAAAAAATGGCGTGTATACTAGAGCATGTTCGAGGTAGATGTCGCAAAATATTACATTTTAATTTGATGGTATAGATGGCAATTTGACATTTTGTAAAATTGCTGATTAGACTCAAAATGTTAGATATCATATTACTTTATTATATATTTTTTTAAACGAATGAGACTCGTATGATAAATAAAACTATAAAAATAATAAATAATAGTGGGGCTTAAAGTTCAAAAAAATCATTAGAATAACATTTAACATCAACTTTTATGAGATTTTAATTTTGAAATTACCTTTCTCTTGTTGTCTTCATATTCATATAGGAATTGACTACTCAAAGCCCAAAAAGTTCATAGGCCAAAATGTGCTCCAAGCCCAACACATCCCATGCTCATAAGCAAAGTTTGGCCCTAAATATGTGCAGTGTATCAAATCCAACAAATGTCAACAAGGATTCAGAAGAATTAATTATTGATGATATTTGCGCCATGCCGAGTGAAAGCCTAATTTAGCACTTGGGAAGATCAGACGTTAACCAAGCATAAATACCATACCAACTTCCAGTCCTCGCAATTCAAGCTTTTAATCTCTATTATAATGACCAAGCATGAAAAATGCGTGTTAAATGCATCCTTGCAATGTCAAGCAGCTTCCTTTATATCAAACCATCCAACAAGCTTAAGTGGGCCGAAACCATACAAGTGCAACGGGCTTGCAAGAAGGGTTGTGGTTTGGAAGGTTACGAAAGTTCACAAGACCCATGGAATCTATTAGATAATTGATACTTTGGGCTGTTTGGGTGCACCAAAGTTCAAGCCCATTTCTTCAGTTCTCCCATGTGGGTGAACAAATGAGATACTCTTCAACTTGTCCCTTTACCCACTATAAAACCAGTTGTTTCCGACACTCACATTTACCTGCTGGAAATAAGCATGTTTTAGGGCTTCCTTTTAATCAAGGTCTAAAATATTGATGATATCGGAAATATCGGTAGTTCAAAAACACGGAAATTTCGATGGAAATATCGGGATATTATCGATATCGATAAAAATTGAATAAAAACCACGGAAATTGTAAGAAAACTTGGAAATTTTTATTGAAACTTTGCAAGATGTTTATTTAGTCAATTATCTATTAGTTTATCACAAAAAATTGGAAGGAAATGCATTGGATGATGGATTTAACTGATTTAAGTTGATTATATAGCGAGCTAGAAAACACTGTGAGTGTAGAAAATATGTAGGAATTAATGAAAGAAGATTAAACACACCATGAATTACTGCAATATTTTACACTTTATACATTGCATGGTAAGATACATGAGTGACTTAGTAGAAACTTGAAAAGGAATGGTCAAAAGAATTCAAAACAATTTGTTTCTTGCAAAAAGAATTCAAAACAAAATCATGTATATATATAAATATTTTAGCATATTTTCATAAAAACATAAGTGATATGGTTGTTAAGGTGTTGAAGGAGTAAAATGGGAGGGGTTCGAATCCCCTTGGTGTCTTTTTTAATATAGAAATTTATCCTAGATAATAAATATTAGCTTGCAAACATTTTAAAGACGCTATAAATATTACACGCCGAAAATACAATCACAAACACGTATGCAGCTGAGTTGGATAAGGCGCTAGGCTGTTCTCACAGAGGCAGGGTTCGAATCCCTCTATGCGCAACAGGGAGAATTTTCAGCATTTTTCTTGTATTAAATGTTGAAATTATTGCCCATGAAATTATCGCGATAATAGTGTGGATTGGTGCGAAAATATCGCCTCCTCAAAAAAAGGATATTATCGCAATAATATCGATTTTTCAGTCCTTGCTTTTAATCGATGGAACAAGTTGTTTTCGACACCCTCATTTGCCCTCTGGAAATAAGCATGTACTGGCGCTCCTTCTTATCATATTCCATGTAAATGATAACCTCAAACACAACCCCATACTTTTCCTTCATTCTCCTACCTCTGGAACTCCTAAATCCTATAAGAATCAAAGACATAAACACCATAACGTCCAAGTCCCAATCTTTTCCTTCCATGGCCTTGATCTTTGAAACCCTCAAACACTCTAGCTAAACCCTCAAGCTTCAAATTGACTGTAAAAAAACTCTACACCTAAAATCAATCATCCATAAACGCCATACCCATTGCTCCAAACTCCCACTTCTCTTCTCTCTCAAATCTGTGAATCACCATACCACAACCCTAATCCAAAAATCACTTATAGACCCGAACAACTTTGTTATCAAATTCTTCTAACTATTCCATCTTTTCAACGTTGAAGATTATAACTTCATCAATATAACATGTACAACATGTCAAATGGTAAGTGTGTGTGCATATGTATACAATTGTGTGGGCATATGTATATAGTTTTGTTATATTAAGGTCCCCTAAGTTTTTACAATAGGGAACATCCTTAAGACTTTAGTAAGATGCTATGCAATGGATGGCTCAATAAGCTTCATGCGACAAGGGTTGGCTTCACAAATCCCCATTCTCCCTAGTGTTTGTTATTGAAGCAAAAATTACTCCTCAATGTATTATCCACCCTAAACTTGGGGAAGTTGAGCTACAACCAAAAACATATTGTCCTATTTTCTATCTATGACTACACATGAATGAAATCATGGGATTAGTGGGACTTGATGGCCAATCCCTACCAAGGCCAACGAAAATCAACTAATATGGTTGATGATAAATTGAAGATAATCAGAGTTGTGTACAAAAGCCAAGGGACTCTATGAATTGGTGCTTGAGTAATGTCTTAGGCATGGCCAAAGCACATCATATACGGTTTTCTTTTAAACTCCACAAGCTATCTTGGTTCATATCAATTTATCTACAAATGTGCATGTTGTCTTATTTGACACCTCAAGAAAATTCCACATAGATCAAACTCCTACAACGATTATTTTCTCTCTCCATATCTGAGAACGAA